ATATTTGTTTTTATGTTATTGGCCTCTCTCAGCCCTTTGTTGTTTGTTCATGTGGAGTATACGGACAAAGACAACAAAGAGGAAAAATTTCAGTTGTTACTCTCTCTGTACAAGTCCATGGCAGTTAAATACAATATGACCATCACGGAGTTTAACAACTTCTCTAATGTGGCGCATGAGGCACTCAGCGAGCCGAAACCACGGTGGACCTACGTTGAAGGAATGGACTTTGTCTTGCAAGCCTTGACTACTATAGGTAAGGCAAAAATACAAAATATCTTTACAGTGTGTTATCTGGGGAAAAAAAGGTAGAAACGTCTGGTTGCTTCTCGCATTCCAGCTAGATGAATGACCAATGGCGAAGTTCATCTCTTTTATGTTCTGTCGTTGATACTAGATGATCGGGAGCAGGGCTGTTTCAAACTGCCACCTGTCATATTCACTTCCACGTCATTAACCGAAAACAGACGCGTTAAAAGTATATACAGACTTTTTGAGAATTGGATGAGATGTCATTTAAGTAAAAGTAGATCGAATATAAAATCAGTTACCACGTTCACTATGATTAGGTACATAAGCTTCTTGTGTAAGTCAAAAAGGTCTATCAAAAGGCCTTTTAGGCCACCTTCTTTGATAAACCTATGCTTTCCTTTCGGATGTCATCTTTTCGATATAAATATAATATAATATTTAAGCGATCAAAACAGCCTTTCGAGTGGAGAAAAGGGACAACACAGCGCGTAGTAGAAATTCTTGTGCTAAAAAGAATGCTTATGCAGACTATAAAGGAATGGTAGGAGGGGTTACGCTTCCGCTATTATCGTAAAATGGGCTTGTGTTACCCTTTCAGGCCAGTCTTATTCATGCATCACACACTACTCTCCATTTCTTGCACCACCATCAAACTTTCGCGGCTGGGTTTCCCTTACAGAAAGATTGGAAGTCGTTTTCCAGTCCAAGCTCGTTTTCCTCTTGAGCCTGCTATTATAGTAACGATTTCGTCCATCGTCACGAAGTCAATTTATTAAGTGAGCGCTAATTCACACGTTACTGACTTATTGTTTTAGAGAGGGGCACTCTTAAGTGATGGTCTGTCCTCACCTATGATCATTCATTTTCTCCTGCAGGTTATGGATACATAACTCCTCAGACACCCTCAGGACAGATATTGTGCATCTTCGTTTCTTTAATTGGGATTCCCATCACATTGCTGACGTTAAAATCAGTCAGCGAGCTCATTACTAAATTGGTCAACGCAGTTGTTGCGAAGTTTGAAAAGAAAGCCCTCAAAAGAGTGGCACCGAAGCACGTTCAGAGTAAAAGCGCTGCGATTTTGATTTCATTAATGTTGGTGTTGATGATAGCAAGTAGTTTCTTAACGAAATTGCTCCAAGGCTGGACACTCGTCGAAGGTGCGTATTATTGGTTTATAACCTTAACCACTATCGGATTTGGTGATTACGTTTTTCACCAACCACAAAAGATCAAGCAATTGTCCGTCAACAGCTCTGGAAAATTCGTTAAAGAAGATTTCGACGAAAAGGAACTCATTTTTGCAGTTCTACAAAAGAAGTTAATCACTTTATATTCCTTGATGGGTTTATGCATTGTTGCAAGTGTATTGAATTCCATCATGGCCGCAATCGAAGAACGGAAATGTCTTCCTCGGTGTCCCCGATGCCTCCCTCTAAAAACCCAGGACCACCCAGTCAATAACGGGCAACACGACATTCCAAAACAACATGAGTCAGATATAGATATAACATGTTTAAACATGGAAAAGACTGGGATGCAGAGGACAAACATGGGCTCGCCGGCATTAAATGAAACTGATTAAGAAAAGGAAAAGTTTCTGCATCTATACCCTGCAACACGCGTTCTGTCACATGCTCTGGATACACGCACTAAGCTAAACCACCAACTTTGCACAGTCGCTCGATCCGCACTCTCCGTTTTTCCCCTTCCAGTTCCGGCAGAGGTGAACAGGGAGTGAAATTAGAACATACATGGGTCGAAGACGAACATGGGTAGAGTAATCCGGACCGTGGAATGCCCTCACCCACTCTGTGAACGTTTTGTGGGTACCAAATCCATATAAAGAAGACATATAGCTGGTTTCGATCCAATAGTTCTATAAACTGAATATTGGAATAAACTATTGAAATATGTTTCAAGATATCTGCACGATATCACTACACAGTAATGCATGTCTTAAGTATTACCATTCCTTTCCCTTTCTGCACATAGCTCAAGGTTGGAATTGTTATTAAACTGTGGTTGGTGAGTGATGGCAAATTAAAAAGACCGAAAAATAGAAAACCATAGGCACAAGAACAGTGCGAAACTAAGTCACAGTAACAATTTTGGTTTAATTGGCATCTGACCTCATCTTGTATAACAAATAAAGGTGGAAGGCTAACCTCATGAGAAGCGGCCAATAGTGAATTTCGTGCATCACCACCCCTCAGTAAAGTATTGCCAACCAAAGTCGTTTGTTTTCGTGGACCGGTACAGATGATGGGAAACTTATTCCTGCTGTCCTCTCCTCATTTAAACTGAGTTAACTTCAGCTCCGGGGGGTACTTCCAGGAAAGTTGGGTGGGGGTGTGCAGCCCACTTCTCAAAACCCTTACCCTATTTATGACCAAAATCTGCGTTTTTTGCCACCCTATTTATGACCTGACCAAAAATTCGATAGCCTATTTATGACCGTTGCGGCTGACACAGTTGCTCTAAACATAAGTTATGAAGGGCTTTTGTTGACTGTCTTATTGATAATGATGAGAAAGTAGCTTCTTCTAAGAAACATACCCAATTCAAGACTAGAGTGCTAAAACCATACCCTATTTATAACC